TTTCTCCTTTTTTTTTTTTTTTTTTTCGAATAATTCTTTCCTTTTTTCTTTCTTTCTTTTTCTACGTTCCTTTTGGTTCTTTTCTGTGATTTAAACGGTTGCTCGCTAGATAGGTCGTTTATACGAGTAAAAAGTGGTCGCGTGCTTTTTAATTGAGGCAATTAAAGGATCGCGGCCAGGCATGAGGAAAACGGCGCTCGATTCGTGCGTTTTTTGCCTCCAGGCAATTATGTTTCCCCCGATAATTCGACGACGCTGAGCGAGGTCGAAATTATTAATACGTGTATTATACGTTTGTATGTGTGTATCGGGATACGGAGAGTCGGTCGTTCAAGTGGCCGCGTAGAAATCGTCCGGGGTCACGATCGATTCGCGGAGATCGTCCATCCGGCCACACCCAGACACCGTACACTTCGTCTTGGGCTTTGCTTTACGTTCACCATGCTGGAGAAAATGGAAATTTATTTTTGATGTTAATACGAGCCGATCACGAAGGCTCGATCGGTAAGGAAATTTCATCGATCATCGGCTAATCTTTCATCGATCTTTCAAGATTCTTCGCTAAAAGATTCGGTGGAATAACAAGTTGTTGATAAATGAATATGATGCAAATATATTTATCTAAATTCTACATTTCAATTTAATAAATAAATTTCTTTTTCATCTGCTACATAACTTATTTTATGAATACAGTAAAGATAAACTTTCAATATTCAAAAAAACAATAAAAGTTATGATTTTTAACGTACCAAAAAAAAAAAATCTACATTATATAATATAAGTTAGATACAAAAATTATAAATTTGTCATCTTGTTATAAAATTCTCAATTTAATAAATGTTTCATTTATAATAGAAATTATAATACTTACCATATTTTAAAAAATTATATGTTGCATGAACTTGAACATATAAATCAGATCAGTCATTCTCTGTAAAATCCTCATTTAATAAAATATCCTCTTTATTTGCTAAATAATTTACTCCTCAAACAGTGTAAAAATCAATTCAGCAAACAGCAGAAGCTATGATTTTGCTCACTCTTACATCGAATTCGTTCCGCACGCATCTGCTACTCCTGCTGCGTGCTAGGGTCGAAAAGGTCACCGGACTAACTTTCACCACGTCTGACCATCTCGTATGCAGAGATCGATAATAATCGGCCGGATGGTTAATTGTCCGTCGCGTTACGCCTCTCTCGGAGAGAGTTCTATTCATTTACTCGATTCGATTTATGGAAAGATCGGGAAAACGCGGGAGGCGGCTTTCACTCTTCCGTTTGTGGAATCTACTGCCACATGAAAATTGATCCGTACTGTATGATCGTTAATTAACCCGTGATAAAAGGATGGATCTGTAGTTAATTGGCCACGGTTAGCAAGTAGTGGTGTTAGAGGATCCAGGTGAGCCGTTTCAGAGATGATTTAGATGAAAGTGGACGGTGGAATGGTTGGAGGGAAAGATTGGATTGGAACAGTGGGATATGTTAGAACTAATTGGTTCTAGAACATTGTAACATCTGTTCTAGTATAATACCGAAATAAATATATTCTGATAACTGATAAAAATTTTTGAAATCACTGTTTGGATTCTTTTATGTTATTGTAGAATATTATGATATTGTTGGCAGCAAAATTTTTCAAAAACTTTAATCAAAAATATAGCGAAATAAAAAAAATCACGAATATAATATTAACTTTAAGGATAATTTCAAATATTAATTATATTCAAGTATAAATTCCATTATGTATGATAATTATATATTTTGAAATACCACTTGCTTTTCTATTATGAGTACACACAACTATATTTCGCAATTGAGTTTGGTTATCATGATTTTATTTCAATAAAGAAGATAAATCTTGATAAGCTAGTGAACAGTTAAATGGTAAACGTATATACACATTGTTACTTTAGCATTTAAACATGTCTAATTTATATCAGATCAAGTACTTATAATTTAATGGTACATTCTTATTAGCATGTTAACATTAAAATTTCAATCGAGACATGACAGGCTTCTCATATCTTGAATAACTAGATTTGATAAAAATGTGCAATAGTATCAAAGATATCCAAGCTGAAAATTTATCATTTATATACATTTTAAATCTGAATCTTGAAATAATTTTAATATCAAAAAAATTTTCATACTTATTTAAAACATTATTTTTAAATCTTAATTTGATATAGAAACATTCCAAATAGAAACAAATTAGAGCATATCCTATTCAATGTTTCACCATAATTAAATTAAAAAGAAAAAAGAAAAAAATATGATCCCCTAATACTTCATAAATCCATCCATGTTTCTCTGTTTGATAGTTCGGCACCAATGCAATTACCATTCTAATTTAATTGCACATAAGGTCAATCTGATAACATGGTTCTATATGTTTCTATAATTGAAATGTTGCCAGAGAACGGTTCATTCGTGAGCTCAATAAATCCGATATTTTTTGAATCTCGAATGGAAATCCTTTTTAGACGAAGGAAATCTTGCGGTACTTTGGCCTGTTTGTATACAGTCCATATACATACAGTCCACAAAACCAATATAGCTTGATCGTAAAGCATAAAGTGGTGACACTCATTATAGCCACACCTAAGATCATGTACATCAGATAGAAACTCCTCTAAACTTTTTGCAAGAATTATTAATTAATTTTTTACCTTTAGTGTTCCAAAATATCAAATTAATCACTAGTCTTCATTACAGATTTTTTAAAAATTAACATTCTGTGCCATATTTTTATTTCCAAAAAATATTCCATAAAATATGTTTGAAATATTAGAAAGATCCAAATGCACTGGTCACTCAAATTATTGTTTTGTGCACAATAGCATTAAATCTGTAAAAATGAAATAGCAAACATTATATATTTTTACATTAACTCTGCGTCTCTTACTTTCTAAGATGAAAAAAATTTGTTATATAATCTAAACTAAAAAATAATAATCTAATCTAAACTAAACTATTGAAATTTATTCTAAAAATATAATTCAATATAAAATGTAAAAACTCTTTGGATTGGGATGGATTCCCGAAAAAGGTTGGAAAACATTAGACTAGAGGTTTATCTCATGTTGGCATCTCGATTCGACCGGCTCGAATCGATTGCACGAACAATTTCAGGGCTCGGCGTTGGCCCGTGAGTTCCATTAATATGTATGATTGGCCGGTATCATGCGGCTCCTTCGGGGCATCCGAGGGATGTGATGGCGTTGTGCAGCGGGGGCAGATGTTACGAGTGGTGTCACAGCATAAATCGCGAAACGCCGCCAATTAGTCGGCGACGCACAAATTACACCGCCTATGAATTAGAAGG